CATAATTCGCTTAACCTTGTTTCAAAAGACTCACCTTTAAAAGATATTTTTCTTTTTTCAAGAATATCATAATCAGATGGTGTTAATAAACCAACGCGAATTCTGGAAAGTAATTCACGATAAGATCCGTCTCCTTGCTGGCGCATATTGATTGTCAGTTCATCATAGTCAAAGTCCATAGATTAGTAGCACTTAAAGAACCAAGATATTTACGAATGTTCTCAGCTGTTAATTGTATAAAGGCAGAATCTTCATGTACAGGAGGTAACTGAAGCAGATCTCCAAATAAAAGAATATGCTTTTGACCGAACTAACCATCATCACAATCAGTAGTATCGTATATTTCAGACAGTCGTAAGTGTATATACATAAAAATTAAATTAGATATCATTGACACTTCGTCAATTATAATAAGACTAACATCTTTAAGATCTGCTCGTAAAACTTTCAAAACGTGATTAGCTAATGGCTTATACTTAGGAGTATGGCCATGCTCAACGGGTAATTGCAATAATCTGTGAACTGTCAAACCGTCTATATTAAACGCTGCTATACCAGTAGGTGCTGCTACGGCAGTATCCTTCTTGAGATTTTGTTTTAACCAACATTTGATTGTTTTAATTAAAAAACTTTTGCCAGTACCTCCTTCTCCACTAACATACAATCGTAGTACTGATTTACCTGATGTTATGGTATCAGTAACTCTATCAAATATTCTTTTTTGATCCGCATTCAATCTTGAAATCATTTCGGATATATCGATTTCCTGTTTATCACCAAGATCCTTAAAATCCTGCATCGCATCACCAGCATGAATATTTTGTACACCTACTGGATTGTCAGGATCATCTTGAGACGTATTCTGTTTTTCTAAGTCATCGAGATGTTGTTGAAGTAATTGCTTCGCAATTTCAAGGGCATTTTTTGATTCCTCTGATTTTTCATGATACTCCAATGCTTTCTCAAGATATAATTCGTTATTGTGAAATGATTCTGCATAAGTATCATATCCATTTTTAAGATCTTGTATTTTCCGCCATGGTTTAAACATAAGAAGTAATGAAAAGAAATAATTTTCCGGTTGCGTATTAACATCATATCTATAGTGATTGATAAGACATTCACGTTGTCGCCGTTTCAAATAATAACCATTACTCATTTTATGATATACAATTTTTTTACTTGTTGGTTTAATTTTCGTTACGTCATGCCACTGTACAAATTCGTATAAAGACATCGTTTCAAATTCTTCCGGTCTATTTGGATAATGACTATCTATTACAGATGGACAAAATATGTCAGTAGAATCTCCATCAAGAACTTGAATTTCTTTATAACTTTTGACTTTTCTATATCGTATCTGACTAACATCTAACCACTTAATAGTTGTGTTTCTATCAGTTCCATATAGAGGAATACCTAACAATGTATCAGCTGCTTCAAGAGCTCCACATTCTCTATTATTAGTGAGTCGCAAAGCAATATTCCAAAGATAGCTCGCCAATGATTTGTTCTTATTATTTATGCTATTAAGAACAGTATCAGATAATTCACATTTTGCTGCTTTATTCACATACTTAGTAACATAATACGTAAGCAACCTTGTGTTGTCACCAATAAATTGTATATCCATATTTCCTTCCCAAACAGTAAGTATGATGCGATTATAATCATTTATATTCTGTTCATCTTCTGTTCGTGAAAGGTCATAAAGTCTACTTTTATGTTTAAATTGTTTTCTACCTGCTATCGAACTTACAACATCTCTCAAAATCAACATGTCGGTAAAAGGACGAGGAAAATCAAAACGACATACACGATAAACTTTACGCCCTTTTTTCTTAGAACGAAGACAATAGTCGTTATGTATATGTCGTTGATGCGTATTAACTCGCCTATATAATGTTGGTGAAGATATTTTGTTCGGTAATTCACACGTTATATGTTGTAAAATAAATTTAGAAACTTCTTCCGCAGGAGATTTACCAAGAATGGGCGCATTTTTAATCCAAACTAATAGATGAAGATGTTGTACACCTCTACCTTGATATTCTCGTCGCCAGAAGTAATGTATTACTTCTCCAATTGGATGATCTTTGGAACAAATAAAATCAAGCATCGTCTGAAACTTATTATCAAGAAATCTCGATGTTGATACAGGATCTCTAGCAATAAGAACACTAGTAGATAAAGAGGAATCATTAGACCATCCATTTACTTGAATATATTCACCTAAATCGTCCCACAACCATTCACTAGGACTCAATGTTATAAAAAATGTTGCAGGTCCGTAATGTTGTATCATACACTCTAAATCACTTCTTGGTCTACGCCAATATTGTTCTGTATTTCTTAGAGTGGAAAAAATTGTATTCAAATCCGATTCTAATAATTTTTTATGCAATGCTTCTAAATATTCTTTAACCGTATAACGGTCTCGCAATTTAGTTACATTCAATTTATGGTAAATACCACGACTTAATTGACGCATATTCGCATTATTTAATAAATAAAATAAATATTGTTGATTTAATCTGTATTGCGAATGTTTAGATTTCAAACGACATTTAATAAATTCATGGTCATGAAGTTTAACCGGCCTAGTTTCATGTTGTCCATTAGTACCAAAAGGATACAAGTCTGGGAAACACAATAGATCTAAATCTTTTTCACGGTTATCCAAAGGCAATGCCTGAATTTTTAACATTTGGTATAAAACGGTGTCACTCTTATGTGACTTTTTTTCATATAAAGGGTAAATAGTATATTGATCATAATAACTATCATCACTCTCATCAATCTGAGTTAACATAGCCTGACACTTATCGTTTAAAATTGCTTCGTTATTTTCTGTTTCTTGCATTTCAATTTTTGGGCGCAATTTGTGATTGTCATACAAAACAGATTCTTTATCATTTTCTATGTCTTGTATTACAAATTCCGGATTATTTAATTCCTCCAAATGTAATTTATCAGTAGTATTCGACAATATAATATGTTCATAAAAAGGATTGTTACGTTTCAACCATATTAAAGCATTATATATTTTTTTTTATCTACTATGTCTTCCCAAATAATTTTGGAATTTGTCGGAACACCTCTAACTAAAATAATTTCATGATTTTTATTTATTGGATCGGTACTTTTACATAATTTGTTCAATGTTTCTTGTAGAGGAAGTGGTAAATGAAATGTTCTACCTTTTGCTTTTTGCACCATTTGCCTTTGGGGCAATTTTTTATTAATAACAGTTCCCATTTTAACAATAGTTTGAAATGCCTTAGCTCTTTGTATAAGCATTTTTTCGTATTGTTTAAGAGATGCTATTTCATCAGGTACATTATGTGCAAAGAGATTATTTAAAACACTATATCCAGGTAAAACTCCATCACGAAATTTTCGTTGACAGTAATCGCAGATATATTCTGGTTGAATATCGTGTTTTTCTATATACGCCATTAAATCTTTTATAAATGGAGATTCAGCCATTTGTACTTTAAACTTATTAAATTGAGACACATTTTTTTTATAACAAAGTCTCTCACACGATACACAAGCATATCGAGGTGTGTCCATGCAACGTTTAGTATAAGCCTTAAATGCATTCTTAAATTCAGAAAAAATTTCTTTCTCACTCAAACTAATACAAGTTTGTTCATGTCTGTACATATGCTTTGCTTTTTCTTCTGCCAAAGTTATAATTTCGTTTAATATTTCTAAATCAGCAGAAGTTAAAGCCTTCTCTAAATCTAACATCTTTCGATAGAAATTCCTCAGTTGATAAATCAAACGTTTAATATTTCTAACCTTTGGAAAATGAGGTGATAATAAGTAAATGGGAAGAAACATCGCTTTACAAAGCGTTGTATCAATGTAACAACTATGCGTATGACCCAATTTCGTATTCGAATTTGTTTTTATTGTACATTTATGAATCTTTTTTAATAATTCTGGTATTTTTTTAAAGGTACACATACTTATCGTTTGGAGAACTTTTTCATAACAATTAATTAGAAACGGATCAATTTCACATAAGTTATCGTCGCATAACCATGCTTTCTTTGCTTTTGCTTCTATCAAAGGTAATACGTTTGTAATTTGACCTTCCACGTTCATTATTAAATGTTGTGATAAAGAAACATTATGATATGTGGAATCGATAAAATAATTTTCAGACGAAGCTGTATGTCTCGATTTGCCACAAACAGCACATAATTTTTCATCAATTGTTTCACATTTAGTAGCAAGACTCAAACATACTTCTGATTTCTTTTTAAGCAAGGCTAACATTTTATACATATCACGAATATAACTATCTCGAATTTGCATACAACGACGTACAATTCTTTCAGCTTTTAATCGTTTTTCAATGTGATTTTTAATATCTAATTTGTTAAAAATATTTTCGATTGCCACGGGATTATAATATTTTATGTAATTTCGTGACCAAAATTTGTTATATTTCCTAATAATATTTTTAGCAGTATCACAATTTTTGTTTACAAGACTAGGTTTTGAATTCTTTTTCTCATAACATCGTTTATTGTACAACCACTTACGATCACAATAAAATTTTTGTCTTTTGCGTTCATGCTGAACATTTATCAAGTAACGCATTCGTTTTTTACTGCGATAATTTTCTAAGTCAGCTTCATATCGAGAACGTTTTTTAGCACGATTACTTCCTAAATTTTCTCTATAACGATGCATTTGTTTAGCGCGATTATTTGCCAAATCTCTTTTGTATCGCTGCATTTTTTTAGCGCGATTATTTGCCAAATCTCTTCTGTATCGCTGCATTTCTTTAACGCGATTATTTGCCAAATTTCTTCTATATCGCTGCCTCTTTTCAGCGCGATTATTTTTCAAATCTCTTTTGTATCGCTGCATTTTTTTTATTTTTGTAAATCTCTTCTGTATCTCTGCAATTTCTTTACGCGATTATTTTGTAAATTTTGTTGATATTGTTGACGTTTTTGGAAACGATTATATTCTAAATTCTGTTTATATTGCCAACGTCTTTTAGCACGTTTATTTTCTAAATTTTGTTCGTCTAAGCAACGCTTTATGTTGGGATCATTTTTGGAATCTTCTTGACATACATTTTCAGAATAATTATTATTACACGTATCGTTATTTTGCTCAGTCTGAGTATTAATGTGTGTGACTAGATCTTTTATCATAATTTCCTGCGAAACGCTTTGCATTAATTGTACTACGTTCATAACTTTCCCTGAATCATTTTGTGTTAACTGTATTTCCTTAACAATACTTTGCGATAACTGTGTTTCTTTCGTAACGTTTTGAAGCGTTTGTAATTCATTAAATCCTTTTGTAATAGCATAATTATCACAGCGTCTTGCTAATTGATTCAATTTCTGTTCTTTTATCTGATATTGACGCATTATACGTTTACGAACCGCTTCAGCTTCTCTTGCTCTTATTACTGCTATTGGAAGTACTTTTTGAGCAACATATTGTGGATCTTGAAACTTGAGGAAAATGTACAATAATATTTGTTTCAAAAATTTTTATCAAATGCGAATGCATTAACTTATGATCATATGTAATTTTGTCAGGCTTAAGGTTAAATAATAATGACGTCGCAAAAGCTATGGCAAAAACACCGCAATCATTACAATTTGGTTGACATTGTACCTTAGGAAATTTAACAGGATTTTTGTCAAATTCATATGTTGGAAATAATTTTTTCAAAAATAACTCATGCTGTTTGTGCAACATTCTATTATTTAAAGAATCATATATGAATATATTTTTCCTGTCATAGAAACTACACACCCAATGTCCATCTGATGAACCCGATGAACTGTGTAATATTTGTATATGCTTTGCGTCACTAGACACAGGTTGTATTGTATTTAATAATTGTATACGCCATGTTTCGACAGGTCTATAATCAGAACAACTTGCTAGAAGTCGTTGGAAATAATCCATATGGATGTCCGTAAGCCAATCGCCTCGATCAATGATATCTTTATCGGCAGGCATTAAAATATCTTTTAACATAACAGACATTTTATTAATTTAACAACAGATAACTATTTAATTAGGAATAGGCGCACAGCAACCAACCTAACTATTTAGTTAGAAATAGGCGCACAGCAACCAACCTAACTATTTAGTTAGGAATAGGCGCACAGCAACCAACCTAACTATTTAGTTAGGAATAGGCGCACAGCAACCAATCTATTTAATTAGGAATAGGCGCACAGCAACCAACCTAACTATTTAGTTAGGAATAGGCGCACAGCAACCAATCTAACTATTTAATTAAATTAACAACAGATAACTATTTAATTAGGAATAGGCGCACAGCAACCATCCTAACTATTTAGTTAGGAATAGGTGCACAGCAACCAATCTAACTATTTAGTTAGGAACAGACGCACAGCAACCAACCTAACTATTTAGTTAGAAAATAAAATCCCCCCTCTCCCTCTTCTCTAACAGGTCTCCTCTCAAATTGAGCACACCCTGCACAAAAAAAATTACATTAAATTTATTATTAATCAGTTCACTGGTAATAACTTATATAGCAAAAAAATAGTGCCAAAATTGGTAATGGCTCATATATAAACATACTATTCAAATATATTAAATGTACTAATCCAATATTGCGGACATTCAATGTGAAGACTTTTTCTACTGACTAACAATATTTTATTATACATATTTTTACCTCCATTCAGGATCCCGCTAAAAAATTTTTTATGAACATATATTCATAAACGTGTACGAGTATAATCATATATGAAATATGTCCATACATGGTTATACATCCCTCTGTCTGTTTTGTAAAATTAGTAATAGAAATAATAATAGTAATGTGAAATTAAAGGGATAACTTTCGCATTGTTCGTTTTAGAATTTTTAAAACAAATAGTGTGAAAATTTGTAGCTTACCTCGAGAGCTTTCCAAAACACTATAATAAAACATTTTTTCATAAATCCAGTTTACAAAAATCTAAATGCAAAAACTCAAGTACAAATTACAAAAACCCAGATACGTGTCAAATTTCATACTCTGTATTGAGACACTTAATGAGAATGTGGCCAATTAGTTTATGGATATAAGTTTCCCTTTATTATTAGATGTACAAATCGTAGATGACGGCGCGAACACGTCCGAGAGACACGACGGGTACACTTCGAACTGCCTTCAACAACTCGTTGCTAGGGACTCGTAGTCAAGGCAAATTAACATAGCAGTATTGCCGCAACGTGAATTTAATCACTTTTACAGTTTACATTACGAATAAAAACTCATAACTCGAAAAGTACTTCATGAAAAAATATTTTATTATAGCGTTTTGGAAAGCTCTCGAGGTAAGCTCCAAGAATATGTAATAAAAAATAGGGGGTTCCGTTTAAAAAATCGTCTGATCTTGACAACGTCATATCAAACCAATTATACCATCTTATGTCCCCCTCGAAACCTCTGTAAAGCTGGCCCCACTTTTTCCAAATGAAAAAATAAGTAGAGTTTTGGTTGTCCCCTCAAGAGTTCTCTATCAATTTTAGAAATAGTTCCGTTCGATTAAAGGGGTGAAAACACCATTTGAAATATCGGAGGACCAACTTCACAATTCCGAAACTTTGAAGAGTTATAATTTCTTTACCATTCATTTTAAAACTTTCATCCATATAGAACAATCGATAGAACTCTTTGGGGGGCAAACAGAACTCTCAAGAAAATAATGGATTTAAAAAAAAATGTTAAAAAAAATTAATTTTTTTGTTTTCGATCTCAGCTGTTTCATTATTAAGGATTATCGTTAGAACTCTTTGAGGGGCTGTCAGAATTCATTACAGGATGCCAAAAATCTAAAAAAAGTTTTTTTCAATAATAAATTTTTTTTTAAAATCCATTATTTTCTTAAGAGTTCTGTTTGCCCCCCAAAGAATTCTATCGATTGTTCTATATGGATGAAAGTTCTAAAATGAATGGTAAAGTAGTTATAGTCCTTCAAAGTTTCGGAATCGTGAAGTTGGCCCCCCCGATATTTCAAATGGTATTTTCACCCCTTTAATCGACGGAACTATTTCTAAAATTGATAGAGAACTCTAGAACTCTTGGGGGGCAACCAGAACTCTACTTATTTTTTAAATCCCTCGAAATTTTACTGTATTATTATTAAAATAACAATGTTTAACCTACAGTTAACCGTTCATATAAAATACGAAATTAATCACTCTTATCAGTTTTGGCACAAAATATTGATTTCGGATCCACTAATAAACTGATATCTCAGATACAAAGAAGGTAATATCCTTCATATCGAAAATTAATTTTATCAATATTTAAATGTCCTTAGACTATATAACATTTATCTGATCTCGAATTTCTGCGATTTTCGAATCATTACATTTAAAATGATTGGCTCTCGCATAAATTCCCGCCGCGCTCCAAGCGTTGCCGCGTTTAGTATGTAGGAGCGATATCTCCAGATGTAGCACAATCATCTAGTTTATCAGATAAATGCCTTACAGTTTAGCTGGATCTTAAGTACTTATACATTGGGTGCGTAGCTTTTATATTTCCAACATATGACTTCGATAAAAATCCTGTCAAATTTCCTAAGACGCAACGTCAACCGAATTATAATTGCGGTGTTTTTGTCATAGCTTTTGCGACGTCATTATTATTTAATCTTAAACCTGACAAAGTTAAATATGATCATAAATTAATACGTATGTATTTGATAAAAATTCTTGAAACAATCAGCATTTCCCGC